CCCCTCCCCCCTATGGCAGAGGCCCCAAAGCCCACCAGCGCACCAAGGGCCCCCAGGCCAGGGCCGGGCGCCAGCACATGCACCGGCCCAAGACCCCAACAACATACCCGCCAAGACCCGAGACCCCCGGGTCAAGCCGGGACCCCAGCCCGGGAGCGACACTCTCCCAGAACACCAAACCCATGCCCACCCCAAACCCACCCAGGAGCAGCCAGGCCATCAGGCCAGTAACCTGCGCCCGCCAGTACAGACCACCCAGAAGCCTGTATGCAGCCAGCAGAGGTTAATGCCCAGAACCACCAAAGCCGCCTCCCCAGTTGAGCACCATTGCCCCGGGCCCACGACCCCCCCATGCCCCCAGCCCCGATACCCCCCCACATCAACAACGATGCCCCACTGGACGAAATCAAAGGGGTTTACTCACCTCCACTACTGGTTGGAGCTAATCAAAGAAGCCCAGAGAGATTGGTCTGATATGGAGGTACAGGCTTTCTCAAGACTGATGTAATCCAACAAAAGGTCTTTATACTGTTTAATACTAAGAGTATTTTTATTTTTCCAATTCATGAGTGTAGTTTTTTTGCTATACATAAAGCAGTTAAAAATCATGTGAATTGACTTTGTCTCCAAGGTGACATCATCTAAGTGGCCCAATAAGCAAACTGACGGAGAGAATGGAATATTATATCTCAGACACTTTGATAAATCTTCACATATCCGGCACCAAAACCTATGAACAGGTGGACAGAACCAAAATGCATGGATGTGATTGACAGGAATATTGTCTGTACACTGTGAGCAAACATTAGATGATGCGAAACCCATCCTGAACATCCATTGACCTGTGTAGTGTACTCTATGAAGGATTTTGTATTGTATTAATTGTAAATTGGGGTTTTTAATCATCTTAAAAGTTCTTGGACATATCTGAGACCAGAAGTTTTGGTTAAAGTTGACTGACAAGTCTGTCTCCCATTTTACAGTGGGAAGGGATGTTGATTCATCTATTTTAATGTGTCCGGTAAACCTTAGATAGTTATATGGGAGGGTTAAGATTAAGGGCCATGCTGCTGATCTCTTGTCTTTATGCTGCTGTATTCATACCCATCTGCTCACTACAGACTCATGTTCAGGCTGCTGATTAATATGCCACATTATATTACATTATTATTGCTTAGCGTATATCTTAGATCCTTGTGAACTGTTTTTTTAATACTTTATATTTTTGCTTTGTTTTGGGTGTAACTGGGACCTTGAGTACACAATTTTGTTCCACCTGAAGTACCACAAGTGATGTGAATGCCAGTAAAGAACCTTGAACCTTGAAGAATTTGTTTCTCATTTTAAAACTACTGTAGCTACAGCTCGAAAAAAAAAAACCTATAAATCTGTTTTAAGTAAATTAGTCACAGAGACAGATTTTTAATAAAGCTTTAGAAATCATAATAAACAGAATATTTTTATTGTCTTATATTTCCTAATTCGACATGTAAAATCTAAATAAAGAAATAATAAATAGTATTTAGTGTTTGAGCTTTTTGTTCATCTGTAAGTTTTAACATGATACTAACCAAATTTAATACATGTTAAACATTATTTACACTTATGTTTGTATTTCTGTTACATTGACTATATAAAAATGTTTTATATTTCAATATAAGATAATACAAATAAATAAATAATACAAGTAAAGTTTATTTCACAATAAAAATAATAGTGAAGACAATAAAACTATCATCAGCTCTTACATTCAATTTCTTTTGCAAATTTTAAATTTTATAAAAACTTTTTTAATAAAAAGTTGGGTTTTTAATAAAATTATTTATTCATCAAACTATAAAAAACACTTTAAAATAGGACACTGTTAGGAATTAAACTGAGGCAAGTTATTTCACCATTTTTAACTTTCAAAGTTTAGAAATATCAGTTTGAAAAAAAATACTTCTGAGCAAATAAGATTTGTTTTTAATGATGAATGATTATTTAAAAAGAGCAACAGTTTAGATGATTCGTTAAACTAAAACAATTTTTTACATTAATATGAAATCTTTTATTTTTTGTAAAGTGATTTGTTTGTGTGTGTGTGTGTGTGTGTGTGTGGGGGGGGGGGGGGGACACACCTGTGAGGAGCCGCTCCTGCCACACAGCCAAATAACCACAAGACCAGGACCAGAAACCTGAAAAACTCCATGGTTCTCAGCAGCAGAAGACTGAGGGCTGACTGAGGGCCTTTATATAAAGGAGGGTTCATCAACACAATCGATGGGGTGGGGTTGAGGGTTACTGTACAACATGATGTTGTAAACCGGGTCAATAAGTTACGATAGGGTCAGGGAGTGTTCCCTATGGGTGGGATCCTGTGGGTGTGTAATCCGTCCAAAGGTTCTGGAGCTGGGTGGGGATGTTCATCAAACAGTAACAGATGAACAAAAACCTAAAAACATGAGTTGAGTTGCCATCAGACCATAAACAGAACACTGAATCACCTGAACACACCAGTGAAGTCCTCACAGACACATTTATTATTTCAGTTCTTATTTTGACAGATAAGTTGAAACCGAAACATACTGAAACTTCTATTTGACTGAAACATCCTGGAGACTGTATATTTTCAATTTAATTAAATCCATCTAAAAAAGTTAAGTCCAGAGGACCAGATTGAACTTTTTTAGATTTTTCTACATGTATTATTGAGCATGCATCAGAATATTAATTCAATTCAGTTTATTTATATAGCACCAAATCACAACAAAGTTGTCTCAGGGCACTTTACAGGAACATTCACATACATTGAAAAGCCAATTAGTAAAGTTCTCTGTCTAAGGAAGCAGCAGACATGTTGAATCTTGGCTTCTTTGCAGTCTCCCATCCTGAAAGCCCATTGGCAACAGTGGAAAAGGAAAAAACCTTCAGCAGAACCAGGCTCAGGACAAGCGGCCATCTGCTTTGACCATCTGGTTTGAGAGGACAGGAAGGAGAGACAATCGAACACAGAATGGTAGGTCCAGATATAGGTCCAGGTGTACCTGAAAGATGAAAAACACATGTTAAGGATAGAAAAAAAAAATTACAAAAACAAAACAGGTTGAGCAGAGTGAAAAAAAGAGTGGTCAGTTTGTCCTCCAGCAGTCTAAGCCTATAGCAGCATAACTAAGGGACAGCTCAGGAAACCCAAGCCGACCCTAACTATAGAATTTAGCAAAAAGGAAAGTCTTAAGCACAGTCTTAAAACTGGACAATATGTCAGCCTCATGGGCAGAAATTGGAAGTTGGTTCCATATATGACTGAAACATCCTGAAGACCATGTCGGACTGAAACATTGTGGAGACTGCATCTGACTGGCTCATCCTGAAGTCTGTATTTGAGTGAAACATTCTGAAGACCATGTTGGACTGAAACATCCTAGAGACTGTATCTTACTGAAATACCCTGGGTACTGTATCTGATAGAAAAATCCTGGAAACTGTGTATGACTGAAACATCCTGGAGAGTGTATCTGACTGAAACATCCTCAAGACTGTTTCTGACTTGCTCATCCTGAAGCCTGTATCTGACTGAAACATCCTGGAGACTGGATCTGACTGAAACATCCTGGAGACTGTATCTTACTGAAACATCCTGGAGAGTGTATCTGACTGAAACATCCTCAAGACTGTTTCTGACTGGCTCATCCTGAAGCCTGTATCTGACTGAAACATCCTGGAGACTGGATCTGACTGAAACATCCTGGAGACTGGATCTGACTGAAACATCCTGGATATGGTATCTGAGGGAAACATTGTTAGAGAAAATAAAATAAGCATACTTTTGTTTAATGATAAAATGTTTAATGTTTGAAATTATAAGCTCAAAATGTCCTCAAGATGCCTTCTGGATGAACTTTTGCCAGCTTCAATTCCTAAGCACCTCAGCCTGTAGCAGACGGTTGCAGAAAAACAGAAAACAGGAAAACGGCGCATGAGGGAAAAGTCTTAGTAAGCAGATGCCAAAAGGTGGTCCATTGTTTAAAAAACCGATGTCTAAGTTTTTCAACCAAAAAGGGAAATAACATGTTGTTTAAAGCTTATCTATAATGCCCACATTTAGTTGAAACTGTCTGATTTAAAAGCCACAAAGAAACAGACTCGTTAACAAGTTGACCTTTGTAAACTGCCTTAGCAAACACTTTTGTTAAACATGTCTATATGATGTATTACCTCCAGAATGTTTGTGTGCTGTATAAAAGTGTACATCGTTCTTTTTTCATTCAGAACTTCCTTCTCTCTCTGGTCCAGTCTGCATTAAGACTCCTGGTGAGAACGGGTTCTCCTTTGCAGCAAAGAAAATAAATCTGCGCTTGATTTAAAAGGTGTCCCTGTCTTCAGCTGAATTTTAGACTTCTACGCTCTTTAAAGTCTATTTTTTAAGCTTTCACAATTTGGCGCTGCGGAGCAGGGTCCTCTGGGCTTCCGTCCGCCGCGGCGACACCAAGACGAGGGCTGATCACCACCTCCACAACCTCCATACCGGATTCAGAGAGACGGAGCGTCTGGTTTCGCCTGGGGCGGATCGACCCGGCAGGACCCGGACCGGAGGAAGACAGGCACACCCACGTTTAAGGTAAAAAGAATTTAATTATGCATAAATAGGGTGTTTTCCTTAAGAAAACCGATTTAGGGTAAGTTTTCCTTAAGAAAAC